CACGTGAGCTAAAGACCTCCTCTCAAACATCAGTTCAGCCCATTCCCTTTTATTTTGTGCTTATAGGATTAAAAAATAACCAACTAACAAATTCTATATTTCACACTCCCAGTGAGGCCTTTTGATGTCATCTTTGTGTTTTCGTAATGCTAGTCTAACATCAACCCTTCCTCACCGGATGAGCAGGAAGATTGTGTGAGTTACCAGGAGAGGTAAAACACCTGGAAGAGCATAGCGCACAGATTAAGTATGTGAAATTCCGTGATTTCTAGACTAATGCATTACACTGTCTATTTTCAAATATTCTCTTTTACTGTTTTGAACAGTTTTTGATTCATATGTTAAATGTTGCATGATTACTTTTCTGTGTCTGACGTTGGCACCAGAGAAATGTTGAAATATTTCTTCATATTTTTTTCTCTCCATTGTACCCACACTGCTCCTTTCCCGTGACTGACACAAATCCTCTGCAAGTAGATTTACAGCTTACTGAATAGGATTCTCCTATGGTTTATTGCAATCTAAACTGCTCTCAGAGATAGGAAGGCAAAGGCTATTGAAAGCCCAAAAAAGAAAAAAACTAAAAATAATAATTTTTCAAAGAGATCTAATTTTTGGCAGTAAGGCATTGCTCACTGAACCCTGAGAACAAAGTTGTTTAGATTTAACTATAAACTTTGGGGAGACAGCATGAGTATCCATTAAAGTATGTGTATGTGTGTGCCTATGTGTGTGTGAGAGAGGTTAGATACACTATGGTATTTTCAGTCGCCTTGTATGCATGAGAAAACTGGATGATGAATAAGGAAGACTGAAGAAACATTGACACCTTTGAACTGTGTTGTTGATGAAAAATATTGAATATACCATGGACTGCCAAAAGAATGAACAAATCAGTATTGGAAGAAGTACAAGCAGAATGCCCCTTAGAAGCAAGGATGGTGATACTACATCTGACATACTTTGGACATGTTATCAGGAGGGATCAGTCCCTGGAGAAGGACATCATGCTTGGTAGAGTAGAGGGTCAACGAAAAGAGGAAGACACTCAACGAGATGGATTGACACGGTGGCTGCAACAATGGGATCAAGCATAACAATGATCGTGAAGATGGCGCACGACCAGGCATTGTTTCATTATGTTGTCCATCGGGTCGCTATGAGTCAGAACCGACTCGACAGCACCTAACAACAATAACAACAACAACAACATTATTACAGGGAAAAGAGGTCTCCAGTTACAAAAACTTCCTGTGTTGCTGGTCTTCGTTGGGGAATACTCAGCTCTTCAAATGACAAATCCAGATTTTGTTGCTTTCCCAAAAAAGAGCTCTGAAACCAGACCAAGAGGATGTTCCTCCATGGAGAGTACATATTCGTGATGGAATATATCAAACTTGAAGCAGCTCAGCACTGTTGATGTCATGGACAGGAGGTTGCTCAGTGCCTTCCAGGTGCTTATGAGAAAGGATGTTTGTGAGTAGACGGACCTTTTGTCGGACCCCACTATGCAGGCTGGTGAGTACATTTCAGGGTTCTTGAGAATACTGACATGGGGACAGCACCAGTGTCTTAATTCTAGGACTGCTGAAACAGAAATACCCGAAGTGGATGGCTTCAATAAACAGTAGTTTATTCTCTCACAGTCTAATAGCCTAAAAGTCCAAATTCAGGGTGTCAGTTCAGGGGAAGGTTTCTCTCTTTGTCAACTCTGCAAGAAGACCCTTGTCATCAGTCTTCCCCTGGTCTAGGAGCTTCTCTGCGCAGGAACTTTGGATTCAAAGGATGCGCTCTGCACCAGGCAGTGCTTTCTTGGTGGTGTGGGGCCCCCATGTGTCTCTGCTTGTTTCTCCCTTTTATATCTCAAAAGAGATGGACTTAAGACACAATCTGATCTTGTAGATTGAGTCCTGCCTCGTTAACATAACTGTCACTAATCCCACTTCATTAACATCATAGAGATAGACTTACAACACATAAGAAATTCACATGAGGTGAAAAAATGATGGACAATCACACAGTACTGGGAATGATGGACTAGCAAAGTTGACACACATATATTGGGTACACGATTCAATCCATAATAACCAGACGCTTACTATTTCTGGGAAATGTTCAACCAAACACAGGTGCTGATGGCACATAACACGGAGGTGATGAAGACATGAAAGGTAACACCTGAACTTCCAAACTGTAAATGTGATGATTCCCTTCATTGACTGAGGGCCCGGTGCATGGCACAGGCTGGAGCAAATTCCCTTCAAGCATGGTTCTTTTAATATCTCAAACACCCTGAGAAGTGGACAGTGTTACAGCTGTTTTCTCAATGAAGACCCTGAAATGTGGAGGAGTTACAGGACTTTCCTAAAGTTAAACACCAGTGAATGGAGGAGCCAGGGCTCTAACCTTCACTTATCACACTGTGTTTCGATGTTTGATGTGAACACTCCTCTAAATACCAGAGATGCACCAGGATTGGGGGTTATACTGGGGAGGACGCTCTGTGAAGTTCCTGCATGGTGTTGGCCAGGAACCTTCTGGGACACAACATTCCTGAAAACACACAGGCACTTGGGACAAAATCAGACCTTAGAACTTGGAGTAGAAAACACTGGGCTGGGAGGGAACACTGGTGAGTTCCAGGGAGTTTCCAAGTTGAGAATCAGAGCTACTGAGAGGAATGGGCTGGAGAGGTCAGGCCTCGGACACCTGGATCTGTGGATATAAGCAGAGATTGGAAGGCAAGGACTTGACAGTTCTGAGGAAAGAGCAGAGATACCCTCTCCCCTCATTCTCATCTCTTTGCCTTGATTTTTTTCACCACCAGATTCTTCCTTGTCGAGATCTTCATCCAGACCCTGTTAGGAACTTCTCAGCACCTGAAGCAGCTCACAGGAACCAAATAACACACCACAGGAAAACCCACTGCTCTGAACATAGGCAAGTGCCCAAGCAGAAGGACAACTGATGCCTCGGCCTTTCTCATCCCTTTCTACCCTGCTCCCATGTAGTCTGCACACTCCAGGCATCCCAGGTCTGCTATAAACCTCATCACATCTCCACTTTTCCTGGGCTTTATTGTTGTGTAAGGTAGGTTTCCTCTTGTTTTTGAGGAACTATCTTACCTGTAAGTATAAGGCTAAATCTACATCAATTTAACCCTAGAATTTCAGTCATCATTTGGGAAGGAAAGGGAAGAGTGCTTATAGGATGCTCCTTGGAAGATCCCAAAGTCACCTGAGGTCAGTTCCCTTGACCGCAGCAGGATGGACCTTCCCAACCCGGTTGGATAAGACTCTTCCCTGCACAGAAATAAGGCAAAGGAACTTCCTATCCTCCCTGCCTACTTTCATAGCTCATATACACACTATTAAAAGGACTCCTCCTAAATATATTTTCAGCACATTTCGTCTTATTCTGTCCTCATCAGGATTCAGAAATAGCAGACAACTATTGCTTATTTAACAGTCCTCCTGAGAGTTAATGATGCCATTTTCTAGAGTGAATGCAGAGAAACAGAGAGCCATGTCCCCAGGAAGCCAGGCCTTGATCCTGTCAGGTCAAATCAACTGCACAGGAAAAGCCCTCAGTGTGGTGAGGATCATTTAAGATCTGTTGTCACCCATCTTTCTAGGAAACAGAAATAAAGCACTTTAAAAAAGTGCAGTCTCAAGGCTCAATTATAGAAACATTAGTTAATGGCCAAGAAGGCTGAAAGGTTGAAATGCAAAGTCCATTAACAGATTGTTAAGAGATAGAGATATTGATAGGATCCCCACAGAAAGCTCCCCAAAGCAAGCAGGGGTTGTGAAAAAAGGATGATGAAAGTGATCACTGGGGATTTATCAGTGACCTGTGAGAGGCCAAAGCCAGACTGCCCCCAAGAGCATTCTGAGGAGGATATCAGTTAAAGCTGGAGGATGGAACTAGGTCAGTCACATGTGGATGTAGAAAACAGGGGACACCTGTATCTCTTTCTTTAGACAGCAGTAGAGGAGAACAAGATGAATGAAGCAATGAGAATTTCTTCCAACAAAACTATCTTTAATCTCAATTTACAGAGGTTTGTTCTCTAAATTAAAGCTAGTGTTCTTCATTTCCCATCATGTAAGTACATGTGCACCCTGCCCAGTCTTTGGCTTCCCTCTTTGCCCTCATGGTATGTGTACAACAGTCAAGAAATAACCACTGGGATAGGGGACGAGCAGTAGCCTAATGAGTAGGGAGGGTGGTTGAGAATCCAAATCTATTAAGCATCGCCAACTTGAGGGTCTCAACATGAAAGAGGAGAGCTCACTACTGGCTACAATGACAATTCTTCCTTTTCTCAAGTGTTGAAGGGTCACACTTTCTTTTTAGAGGCAATGAGGGTTCGACCTCACCCACAGCCAAGTGTTGCTTCACAGAAACTCCAAGGTGTTCAGCCCCTGAGTAGGGCCTCTTGGCACGAAGTGATGGGGATCTTACTTGAGCTGGGATCTTAGACTTGGCAGCTTTATGTCCAGGTTGGCTAAGACCCACTGTCTGAGGAGATAGGGGCTGGGATGCTCCCCAGGTGCCCTGAACTCCGTAGTGTAGAAAGCTGGAGGCAGGCAGAGGATTCTTGGAAAGACTCCAGGGCAGTAGGCTTTGTTGAGGCGCCAAGAGAAAGGCAAGGCTGGGGAGTTCCTCCTCTTCTTCTTCACTGAACCTTTCTCCTTTCCCAGGTGTTTCACTAGTAAGAGAGGTTTTTACCAACATTAAGTCTTCTCTGGTTCCCAGTCTAGGGGAAGTGCAACTAGGACCCTGTTGAGGAAAAGTTGATAGTTCAGACTTAGGTTTCTGTGACTTTGGACTCCACGTAAAGACAGCAAGTTCTTTTGACTTAGACAGGTCATCTGCATTCAATGATTTTGTGCTCATTTTCTCGCTGATCCCTAGTTGGAGGCCGTGGTTATCTGTGCTCTCTGCATCTTCACTCGTCCCAGACTCTGTACAAAGTGACTCCATGGGTGGCACACCATAAGTTGGGGGTGCTTCCACACCCACTTTCCCTTTCAATTCCAGCAGTCGCTTCTCTGCCATCTGCAAGGAAGGAAAATGTATAATTACTGATCCTGTACAGATTGTGAGAACATGTGGCTGAGCATGTGGTGGCAACCATGGTATTGGGGCAGGATTCAGGGAAGTCACTCACATGAGTGTGGTTCAGTAACCAGTACTGCACCTGTCCCTGTTCATCCTCTTGTGTGGTTCTCCCAACCAGGATTCCTTACCACTCCTCCTCTCAGCCACTCCATTGTCTCCTACCTCCTTGTTCTGCACCTGCTCCCACACCTGGAGCTGTCCTTCCCCAGAAGCCATGCCAGTCAAGGCACTGTTGCATGAGATGAAATCCTGTGGGCTTTATGTTATGATTCTCCCTTCCTCCTCTGGTTTACCTGGGTAAGAGTGAGTCCTTCTTCTTTCTCCAGCTCCTGCATTAAGGACATGGGATCTACCTGTGATTCTGGTGATAGTAACATTTCCAGAAATTGAGGGTGAATAACTGCTTCCACCTGATAATGGAAGGAGGCAGCATGTGAACATCCTTGACAAGGAGTAACCATGGCTTTAGAGGTTTTAGAATACAATCAATAATCCCCCTCTGAAATGTGCATCCAGCATTGTATTAAAACATCACCACCCCAACCTACACATAGGCACACACACAAACACATACACATACAAGCAAGAAATGGACACACACATTGTTCAGGGTGTAAGGAATCGAGCTTAATGTCCAGGGCCAAACTACAGATGTTTGGTTCCTGGAATTCCAAAAGTATAGAACCCACAGACATCATACCCCATGTCCCAGCCCACCTTGGTAATAAATGCTTCCTGTGAACACAGCTTGTCTATGTAGCTCAGGAGTCCCGGGTCTGAATATATCCCATTCTCTTCCTGCTGTTGCTCATTTTCTTCTTCTTGATATTTTCCATCTGGCTCCACGGTGGCTGAACGGGCAGCTCCAGAGAGACTTTCCATGATTTTAACATACTCTTTCACAGCTTTAGGAGGGATCTCATTGGGTTGCTTGGGCTCCCAAGGGTCCTGGAATCTGTGTTGATGCTGCTTGGGGTGCTGTGCCTTAGGACCTCCCTTCTTTGAAATGAACCCTATAGGAGGGGTTGGAAAGAAGAAGATGAATATAGCAGCAAATTCCAGCTCTTTCCACCTGTTATGAATTGAATTGTGTCCCCATAAAATGTGTGTTAACTTTGCTAGGCCATGATTCCTAGTATTGTATGGTTGTCTATCATTTTTTTATCTGATGTGATTATCCTATGTGTCGTAAATCCTAAGCTGTATGATGTTATTGAGGCAGGATTAGAGGTGGCTGTTTAATCAGGCAGGACTCAATCTACAGGATTAGATTGTGTCTTGAGCCAATCTCTTTTGAGATATAAAAGAGAGAAGTCGACAGAGAGGAGAAGAACTTCATGCCACCAAGAAAGAAGCACCCAGAAGGGAGCCCATCCTTTGGGCTTGAGGGCCCTGTGGTGCAAAGCTCCTAGATGAGAGGAAGATTGATGACAAGGACCTTCCCCCAGAACCAACAGAGAGAAAAAGTCTTCCACGGGAGCTGGTGGACTGAATTTGGACTTCTCACCTCCTAGTCTGTGAGAGAATAAATTTCTGTTAAGCCATCCGCTTGTGTTATTTCTGTTATAGCAACGTTAGATAACTAAGTCACCACCCAACCACGTGTTGTAAGGGCAAAATTTTGGAGACACTGAAATGGTTCCTGATGAGGCGGGCACACCTGAAGCCATAAGAAGTGTGACAGGAGAAGATGTAAGAGGTTAAAGGTCCAAGAGAGTCATCCTGTGAGGAAACTTGGAACTATTGCTTTTTCAAGAAGTCCTTTCATTGAGACCCACGTTGTAGGCTGATTAAATATTGGATCACACCTTGGATAATCCATGGTAGAGAGTAGTTATAAAACTTGACCATCTCACTACTAGTGTGTAATGAAGTGTAGCCGAGACCCCAGTCTTCTGGCGGGCTCTGCTAATAGAAATAGCCATTGCCCCCTCTGGAAAGGAAAGTACCACATGTGAAGACAATGCATTCCTCCAAACATGGCCAGTCTTTACATATGTCCTTTGACCCATTGCCCTTAGCTCCAGTTGAACTTGGTTATTCATACCTCGGTGCTGGTCAGCCACAGCACATGAAGGCCTGTGAGGTTCAAGATTCCGGAGAGCTGGAGGAGGCAGGCACACAGACGCATTCTTCTGCTGCAACTTGTGAATCTGTAACTCCTCCTCTGTCTCAAACTCCATGAACCTGACAAAGGTGAAGGAGGCACAGCCCATGCTGAGAAGAAGGCAAGGTGCACCAGGAGCCCCAGCACCAGTCAACTGCCGACTGTGGGGCAGCAAAGAAAGATGTGCCTTCATTGACCTGTTAAGGTGCAGCATAAGTCCATTTCCCAGGAGGGAGTTGCTCTCTGTGGCACAAACAAGGTTTGAGGGCCCCTTACATGTTCACCACATCATCCCTTCACCTGCCCCACAACTCATCTTGACTTAGGAAGGTTGTGAAGGCAATCAGCCGTGCCTTCTTGGAAGACCCTCCTGACAGAGACATAGTGCTCACTTCTTTTCCACACTCTTAGCACCTGATAGCACACCACAACCATGACACTGGCTTGTTGATTTCAGTCAGACCTGTGTGACACACAGCAGGACCCCAGTCTTGGACACCCTACTCCAAGCCTCTCCTGCCTTTGCCTAAAACATACACAGTAGTGCTGACAGCCTGACCCTGGGATGGGATGAAGTTGATTGCAGATAACACCAGGGACTAGTTCCTAGATCCCCAGTCTTAGTCTCAGGCTTTGAGCCCTTGAGCTATAAACCAGGGAGACAAGTGGGCCAGGACATATTGGGAAAAAGGTAGAGTCCACGATTTCAAGAAAGTTTCAGACTCCTCTGATGATTTTTTTTTTTAAACTGAGGGAGGAAAGGCATTGAGGGTCAGACAGATGTCCACAGCGTGACTTGAGATGCTGCCTTTCCCTGCACAAAGCTTTCCATCCTGGGCCATTCTTGGATTGTTGTAGAACAGTTTTGTGCCAGTTTCCATGAGAAGGGGTGGTCCCCAATTCCCTGTCAACTTCCCAGCCACTGAGGGAACCAGGAAGCCAGATGGTACAACATACCCCCAACACTGCAGAGTGTCTGCAGCTTGGAATTTATCTCCATTAATAGCCACAGTATTTATCCCCATTCCATCTTAACACTCTCAATATCAAGGCATCCACAAATCCAAAATGTAGAAGGAGTGAATTTCAAGAACATAGAAGAGAAAACTGTAAGCAGTGAATGTGGTGGCAGAAATTCTCTGAGGGTAGAGAGGGATCATCAGGTAACCAGAAGCCCTGTCCAAGTACACACCTCCTACTAACAACATACCCTCCATTTGTACCATCACAGCCAGGCAGCAGCCACTCTCAACCCACCCTCTTCATTCACAGATCATCACTCAGTCCCAACAGGGCCGGAAAGCCATGAACTCACTTTCCCGCCATCTCATAGAAGATCATCCGGTCAAAGTTGCTTTTGTGCCGCCATTCCTGCACGGACCGCCACAGTCCCTCCTCCAGGGTCATGGTGGGCTTCAGCTGGGCCAGGGATTGCAGGACTGGGCTAAAACCCCATGCATATCAGTAACTTTCTACGAGTACATATTCCATCCTCATCTTGACCCAACCCTTAGACATCCCCTTCCCATCATCACATCTGTCTTGCTATTTGTCTGTGTCAAATCTACCTTCCAGTGTTTTAGATTTCAAGTGCTTTTTCCTCCAGGATGCCACTCACAGAGCATGAGAGCTATACTAAGATGCACTCCTGGGAAGGACAGTCTAAAGAAAAGAATGTGCTTTGAGTCCTCAGTAGGATTGTGGACAGAATGACCTGCCAGACCACCTTAAAATGTAGACTCTAAGATCAAGTCCAAGGGTCTCATGAATGAACATTTTCACTAACTCCCAGAAGACTCAGCTGGAGGTGCTGAACTTTGGTGAACACAGCCCTAGAGTCTCAGAGTGTGAAGAGCAAAAGTTCTGCCCAGAAGCAAAGGTGAAGGCAGCCCATGGTAATTTATAAAGACCTGTGCTGTCTGGAGTTTCCAGAATCATGCTGCCCGTCTGCATTTGAGACTGTGATCAAACAGGAAACACAATTGTTTTGGAATTCAGGGAATCCCTGAGACTGCTTGAGCGTTGGATTTGACTGATATTCTCTTTATTACCAGGAGAGAAGAGAGAGGGGAGGAAGATTCCTTCAGTCTTTCAGCCAATTGGGAGTAACATGTATGTGGAAAAATATCCTGTGGAATGTGATAAGAGTGCAATATTGTTTGACCCATAATACCTGTGGGGAAGTGCAGAGTTAACAGATGTATAGGATCTATTGTGGAAAGACAAAGCTTCCCACATGACTAATCACTCTGCCTCCCACTCACAGAAGCCCATGACCCTGAACTTCATGGCCAGTTTCCACTACATGCTGTAGCTAGGACATTTTCCCTTTTGTGGGTCCTTATCTTGGACTACACTGGCTTTTCCTCAAGACAATGATAATAATAATAGACATCATTTAATGAGGTACAGCATGTGTCAGGCACTTTTGGAGCACTTTTTATATTAGCTCATGTCATCTCCTTAGCTATCGTCTGAATTAATTGTAATTGTCTCCTTATTTGATGAGATACACAAGGGTGAAGATGAACAATGCCCTGCTCAAGATTACAAATCTAGGGAGGGCAGAGCCCAAGCCCTTCACCACTATGCATGCCCTATCACCTCCCTGTTCTAACTGGAATTCTCCAGAGGAAAGAGGATGGGAGTATACTTAAAATGGTCATCCTAGGCCTTGCCAGTTTCCCCCTCCTCTGGATTTGATATGGAACTTGCCAACATTTGGTCAATTCCTGTGCTGCAAGATAAAGACCAGTGGAGGAACATGGTGTTTGTAGTCTGAGACCAAAATTCACATCATGGCTGTGTACTTTACCACAGTGTTTAGACTCTTGTAAATAATTATTAGGGTAATAATTGCAATATAAAGATGGGCTTCATGTACAAGGTGGTCAGCATCGATTGAGATAAGGCACCTGAAAGTGTTGTACATGGGGCAGTGTGGTTAATATTATCAGGAATGTATCTTCTCATAACATATCCCATGGCCCTGATGACCCTCTTTCAAATGTTCCTAAAGAGCCTAACCTCTGTTTTGTCTTCCCAGAATCTCTATTTAAAAGCTGCAGGATAATCTCAGATGTCCCCACTGACTTGGACACTCACATGAGAAAGCAGGAAAGAGCCTCTGTATCAGAACTGTGGAGATGGTGCCTCCGGGCCAGGGACTTGAAGTGTTGCCAACATCGGTAGTTCTTGTAAACACTCTTGGGGTTACAGGAGGAGTCATCCAGCGAAGGCCTGGATTGTGTGGTGGCCAGTCTTTCCTCCCCAGAAGAGGCATGTTGGCCTGACCAAGCCTTCACTTGGGGGAAAATGGAGGCCAGCTGGACAGTTGGTGGTGGAGCTTGAAGAGAAAGAGCTGGGGACCAACCTTCCCTACAAGCCTGAGTACCCACAAAAGAAGTGGCAGGGATCATTTGCTGCACCACAGAGGCTTCCCCAAATGGGGGTGGAGCATGCTTAACTGCCCCACTAGGAGCCCCCGGGGCACTCCAGTTGAGTGGGGTGTGTGCCATGACAAAGGTCTGAATTCCAGGGAGCTCTGCTGATCTCCCTTCTGTCCTGACTTGGACAATGACCTTGCCAGGCCTGGCCCCATTGGGGCCATAGTCCCCAACACCTGGCACCAGCAGTGTCCTGGGGAAAGTAGAGAGCCCCAGATGGATGCCAGGAGGGCATGATGACGTTATGAGGGGCAGTGGGTACTGCTCCCTGGGTGTTCCGTGTAGGGGTCCAGGAGTGGGTGGGCTAAAGGGCAGTGCAGTGAAAGGAGACATGGAGACACCAGGATTCATGGTCATATCTGGTCCCAGCACTGGAGTTGCTGTTGAGACAAAGGAAAAGGACAAATGGAGCTGGAGGAAAGGCAACTGGGTGTTAGGTGATCCGAATTCCCTGCATGGTCACTGGGAATAAGTGCAATGAATCTCAACTGATGAGCAGCAGTATGGATCGGGGAACTGGGGAAGACTGGGAAAGTCCCTGGAGTGAATTAGACATTCCTTCCCTCTAGTTGAGAAGTTTCCCACTAGAGAACTTGTGAGCAGTTCAACCAGACTCCCAGGCCTCAGTCTACCAAGAAGTAAGAGGCCCAAGCTATCACTGACTCTCAGATCCTGTCTCGGGAATCCATGGCAGATACTCTGTTTCCAGCACATGGAACAGGGTTGACATCTACTCTGTCTGAAATACCCCAGCAGGCTCACTAGTAGGGCAGGGACCTACTAAAGTGAAGGCATCCTCTGGACTTCCTTGAAGAAGTGATTTCCCCATCTCCTCCTCAGCCTTCCTTTTCATGATGCACATTATAAAACCACTTTCTTTCTTTCGCCAACCTCCTGTCTCATTTTCCCATTTTGCCTCTTCAGCCTCACCAGGTAGAATGTTCTGGGTGGTGTCAATGTCCACTCCTTACTCCTGTTTAGAGAGCTTGTCCCCAGGGAAGCATCAAATTTGAATTCCCAAGGGTCGAAGGGGTGGCAAGGATCTGATAACACACCTCCTCCCCACCAGGCTTACCTCCTTCTGAAGCCATCTCCACAGGCTTGGGATCTGACCACAGCTGTGTGGAAAGCTTCAGCATGTGAAATCCTCACGTCCTGGACTCAGAGCGTGATCTGGCTCCAACAGCTGCTCATGGATCCCAGAAAAGGAGGGAAAAGTTTGAATCTAAACAGGAGTAGAATGTAGGACTCAAGACATTCTACGGTGGGGGAGGGCCGGAGGGCAGGTTGGGATGAGGAGACATTCCATGAAAGGGATCTGAGAGGCAGGCAAAAGCTACACGTTTCCTTCAAATTACAGTTGACGGCACAAATTGAACCTTTTAGGGTGATTTGTGGGTTCCTTCTCAGATTCACAGCACGAAGGCTCTGCTCTAGACTTCAGTTCTTATCAACATACCTAGTTTTGTGCCCCTGAACCCACCCTGCTCCCCAACTCTAGGTGGTAGGTTCTTGAATTATTACAAGGGTGCCAAGTACTTCATGAACAAAATTCATGCTGCTTTGTCTGATGAAGGCTAGGGTACAAATAGAGACAAGGAAATTAAATGTTTGAAGTTAGGATTGTCCGGAAGTTCCTTTATGTTTGGTGTGTGTACGCGTACAGTGTGTGTCTGCATCCTTGTTTAGGAAGCAGTGCTTGTGTCCTGAAACTCCTGTCCATTAGTGAAAGCTCTGGGGGCTGCAGCAGGGCCAGCCTTACTCATGATCCTCTTTCCTGGAGAGCCCTACTGCATCAAAGGAAGGCCAGCAGCCTCTAATTCCATGAGCAGAAGTAGGTTCCTGTTGCTTCTCAGATTATTCTGTTGTACATCCATATTTAAGTTTTTAATTCTGACAATGACTGTAATTCAGTAATTAAATGAGCACACCTCTGCATGGTTCAAAAGTCAAACAGTTCCAGATAGATTCTACAGTGACAGCTCCTCCCCCGCACCTTTGTCTTGGCAACCAGATTCTCCATCTGAGGGGAAACCGATGCTTTCTGTTTCATTTTCCTCTTTCCAAAATATTGTGTGTGACTGGGGGTAACTACAGAAGCTATGTTCATTTATCAAAAATGCTTTCAGTTTCCTTTTTTCTCATTATACAATTAAGGTGTGTTCCAATATATATATATTTTCCATTAAAATTAATGTGCTCTTGTTTATTTTTGTCTTCTTTCTGGGATCAGTGATCCTATTTGTACTTTTTTAGTCTAGATTCTAGTGATTAACATTCTCTTAAACTTCATAGTCACACCAAGAATAGGTTTGCCATGTTTAGCAAATAAAATACAGGACTCCAAGGCATCCCTGTGTAACATTGGAGACATACTTAAAATAACACAGCACCACTGGGGCTCCACAATAATATTAGTCCCTCTTTATCAGAAATTTGAAGTTAACAAGTGGCCTGTATTTTATCTGGCAATTTGACCAGAGGTAAAAACCTTTAAGCTATTATGAGTTACTCAGTCTCATAAGAACAGAACTGAATTTGCAGTCGGAAGACCAGAGTTGGAATCCTGGTTCCATAAACATAAAATACAGCACCCAAACCAAACCAGCACACCAATTTCACAAAATTGTTGCAGGTCATTTTGATTATCTGAATATTGTATAATCATCAAACACTCTTGAGCACATAGGCTTAGTGGGCATGGGAGCAGTTGTAAGGATGAGGAAGAAGAAAATCTTTTTCTCTGAAGCTGAATGGGCTTACTGTGCTATAGCCCTGGGCTATTCAGTTGTTAGATACAGCCCCATGGCCCTGAAATAGGTTGGTATCTTGAGACCAAAACAGGATTCTACTCACCAAAGTCAAATCACACACACTTGCTCCCATCTAACTCCTAGCTGGCCAGTGTGAGCCATGAAGCCCTACTTGTCAACTTGGGCATCACCTGTCTCCATCACACACCCTTGCTCTTTGGAACTGAGGCTCATCAAGGTATGTGGTCATATGTTTGTGGGAGTCATGGTAGTATGTTCATTAAATAAACTATGGTTGACCTTTCTTTCATCATGAACATGATTTTCAGTCTATTCAAATCAAAAGGAGTTAAAACCACTCATTTTGTTGTTGTTCGAGAGGCTTGGTAGGAAAATTGGTCATGGGAGATGAAGGGTGCTGACCCCAAGTGGTTGCAATAAGAAAGGAAACATGAGACCAACTTGAATCCTGCTCCCACAGCAGTAGTGGTCTTCAGATGGGAGGGTGTGGGGGAAGGAGAGACAGGTTGAGGAGGAATGGTCCACACAGTCTTCACTCAGAAAATTTCCCTGCTGAAACTAACATAGTTTCTTGTCACTGGGGAAAATATTTTGAGCAAGAGGGAAATGTTGCAGAAAAATGCAACAGCAGTCATATTGTTGTGGAAAAGCAGAGAATTGGAAGTCCAGAGGAGACAAGATTCTTCTCCCCTCTTTGCTACAGTTATGTGAGAAAGTCATTTCATAATGTGGTGCTCATGAATTCCCTCATGATTTGTGTTTTATCTGAATATAAACCTGATAGTACTCGATGAATATTTTTGTCTTCAGCATCCACAGTGTTTGCCCAACCACTGTGAAAAGAATGTCTCCATGCTTCTTCTGCCTCTCTGGAAATTGCCCACACCTTAATTCTCTGTAACCAGGAGGTAGCTTCTTGCATGTGCCTATCTTTGTATTTTCTCTGGCAGCTACAATGCATAACTCTAGTCATAGCTTAGATGATGAAGTTAGAGAAATTGAAGAAAAATCACCCTAATATTTTCAAAAGCTACTCATGGTAATTGATAAAAGCAAAATCTTGGTGACTTTTCTTAGGACTTGAGCTTCTATCATGGAGCAAACAAATAATTTTCCATCCCATCCTTCCTATTCCAGGGATGGTGGGGCATATCATTGCATCTGGACACTGAAGAAAAGCAGGCTTACTCCTTGATTCTTCTGCTTGTCAGTCCATCAATTTTTTTTCTCATGATGTACACTTATGGATTTAGGGCCATTGGATTTGCTGAGTGAGCTCAGGGTCAATGACTCAAACATTGCATTGTAGAGAAACAATTGTGTCCAAATTCTGCAGTTTCTTTGTCTACTTCATGAAAATCTTCAGCCTTGGAAGCATATGTGATTAAATTAGCTCCTATGAATTTACTAAGATTGGCCACGAAAGGGCAAGGTGAAAAGTCCTTTGGACCTGGCTCTCTGACCATCGCTGGGGAGAAGTCTAAGGCAGGCATTGACCACTGTTCAAAATCATCTCTGTTCTTGGGTCATAGGGTACAGAAGACAGATGATCTTCCACCCAATCTCAGAGCATTGGAGGAAATGACAAGATGTGCTGAGTCTTATTCAGCTATGGTGTTTTTTCTCTCAGCCTGTGCACTTGGAGGCTCTGTGTGTTCTCTAAGTAGGGTCATCCAAGGGAGTGAGAAATCATGCAAATCTTGAAATTTCCAGAAAAAGAGTATCTGATTATTGAAAATTTTCAAAAATAAAAATAAAACCCCTTTAAACCTATACAGTGATGCAATTCTGGTACTGATTTTTTAAGGGCTGACTGAAATTATGAATGTGTATTACAAAAAGAAAAAAAGGAATGGTTTTGTTTCCACAGTACCTGGTGAGTAGACAGGCAGGAAGTAACACTGGCTGAGATGTATTCCTAAACATAACTCAGGAGAAAAAGTAAGTACATATATTGAGGACCTTTTCCTTAAGACATCTCTTACCATGCATTCCTAGCAGATTTGTAGAGCCAGGGGACAGTGAGAGTATGACATAGTGCATGTAAACGTGCAAATACAATGTAGTAGGAAATGCAGAGGCAGATGATGTGATAATCAAGCATTTCTAATTGAAAGGCAGTCTGGGAGGTTTGAATGAACAGCAGGGCTGCCTGAGGCAAAAATGACGCTTGGGTGATGGATGTCTTGCTTTCTAAGAGCAGCACTGCCCTGTGCCTTGTCTGGTAGGAAAGCTGGGAGGTGGAATCTGGAATCAGGGGCTTTAAAAAAAGCAAGGTGGAGAGGGTTCACATTTCAACTGAGTTTATTTCTCAGTATGTTAGCTGACTTTTCTGAAGCAGAATCTTTGGATTTTGGACTAAGTGTACATTTCTTAAAAGGGAATGTATTGCTTAGGTCTTACATATCAGAAAGCATAGGGAATCCTGGAGTTTTATTTGATTCTATAAATATTTTTTATTTTCTTTTTATTGTGGTAAATATGTATGTAACAAAACACTTGTCATTTCAACATTCTCCACATGTTCAATTCAGTGACACTGTGTTCGTCGTGTTGTGCAAGCACCACCACTATCTGTTTCTAAGCATATTACTTCTTTAAAAATAATATCTTATTGTGTTTTAGGTTCCAATTCAACAATTTCTACACAAATTGTTCAGTGACAGTGGTTACATTCTTGACAAAGCGTGAACATTCTCATTATTTCCGTTCTCGTTGTTCTGTTTCCAATAATCTAATTTCCCTGACTCTTACATTCTCTACTTTGTTTTAAAGTAATTGTTGACCATTTGGTCTCATATAGGTGATTTTTAAAAGGAGCACAGTACTTATGGGTGATATTCATTATTTTGGGAGCCAATATGTTATTTAGGTACAAGGTTACCTTAGGGGTTAGTTTCAGTTCAAGATTTGAAGAATATTTCAGGTCAGTGCTTCTGGGGAGTCCTCCAGTCTGAACCAGTCCAGTAAACCTATTTTTTTTTTCATGAATTTGAGATTTTTTCCACATTTTCCTCCCATTCTATCAGAATCCATCTATTGTGGCCCTGATCAAAAGGAATGATAGTGGCAGCTGGGCATCATCGAGTTCTTCTGGTCTTGGGACAGATAAGGCCATGGTTTATGTACACTATTTGTCCTGTAGACAAGTTCCTTCTTTGAATTTTTGGTTTTCTACTTTTTCTGCAGCTAGGTAGAGACCAATAGTTGTATCTTAGAAGGCCACTGTCAAGCTTTTAAAACCCCAGACACTACTTAGCAAACTAGGATGTAAAGTATAACTTTACGAACAATATTATACCAAAGGACCGAGATGT